CTAAGTGAAGTAAGCCAGAAAGAGAAAGAAAAATACCATATGAGATTGCTTATATGTGGAATCTTAAAAAAAAACAAGTACAAAACAGAAACAGACTCATAGACATAGAGTACAAACTTGTGGTTGCCAAAGGGGGAGGGGGAGGGGAAGGGACAGACTAGGATTTCAAAATGTAGAACAGATAAAAAGATTATACTGTATAGCACAGGGAAATATATACAATATCTTGTGGTAGCTCACAGCAAAAAAGAATGTCATAATGAATATATGTATGTTCATGTATAACCAAAAAATTGTGCTCTACACTGGAATTTGACACAACATTGTAAAACGACTATAACTCAATTAAAAATATGTTTTAAAAATTATTCCTTATTCCAGAATCCACCTTTCTTGAGACTAGCGAAGGTTGGGAAGAAACCTTCCGACGACGAAATTTCCAGTAGTCTACCTAAGCCTAAACCACACACATAGTCCCTGAGAATCCAGGCAGAGCTGTCCAGTACCCAGAGCCACTCACCACATCTGGGGGTGTATACTGAAACGGATTAAAATGAAAGCTTCAGTCCCTCAGCTGCACCAGTCATATTTCAAGTGCTCACAGCCACAAGTGGCTGCCACATCGGACAGTGCTGGCAGAGGACCCTGCCACCACAGTAGGAGTTGTGGCGGACACTGCTGTTCTAGGAAATACGGATGAAAAACTAAGCTCAACGCTATTATAACAAGGTCCAGCAGGGTCAGAATATTAAATTTTAAAAGTAGTTAACAGACTGGGCCCGGAAACGTTCATCTAGTTCCAGTTATATCTAGTCCCAGTACTACAGGTGGTTCTCACAACTGAACTTGTACCAGAAACAAGTGAAGACAGATTGCTGGGCCCCACCCCCAGTATTTTGATGCCGCAGGTACGACATGAGCCGGAGTATGTGGCACCGCTGTAGTTAACTGCCCTTGCTCAGCAGTTTTCCTCTCTCCTAGCCTCAACTGTTTTCTCGCCCGTAAAATGACATTACATAATCACCTGAGTTCCCCTTTCTCAGTCTGGGGACGGTATTTTAAATGCACAAACGGTTCTGATACATGAAGGCTTGGAACTCAGCCGGGAGAGCAACAGTGAAAGTGAAAGAAACAACCAGTAAAAATCGTCTTAGGGCAGATTTCAGGATCCTAAACACAACAAAACGGAAGCTAAACAGGTCGCCAAAGGGGGGGGGGGGGAAGAAATCCCACGCCGTTTTCTGTTGAGCTTCCAAAAGTTCGCCCTGAATGACTACACTTAATCTGAGCAGGAAAAACAAATCTGCGGAGCGACATGATTTATGGGCCACACAGTGACGCGTCTCGGGATCCAAAGGCGGAGGAACCACATTCTGCCGGGACTGCCGTCCGAAGGGGTGGCGAGGCGCGGATCCACGACGCCCAGCCCTCC